CCTAGCGCGATTACGGACATATTTCTTTAGGACTCCCATGAACCTCTCAGAGGGGAACATATTGTGTAGAAATACGGGCCCCAGGATGACAATCTCGTCGACTAGATGAACTAGGACGCGCGTCATGATATTGAAGAAGGATGGTGGGAACACCAGCTCGAAACTGACAAGACATTGCGCCACATCACTCCTTAGCCTTGGTACGATTTCTGGATCGATCACCTTCTGAGAGATTGCATTGAGGAATGCACATAGCTTCACAATGGCTAATCAGACGTTTTCCGGTAGAAGCCCCCTCAATGCAACCGGAAGCAGTTGCGTCAAAATCACGTGGCAGTCATGAGACTTTAGGTTCTGAAATTTTTTCTCTGGCATATTTATTATTCCCTTTATATTCAACGAGAAGCCAGTCGTGACCTTCATACTGAGCAGGCATTCAAAGAAGATTTCTTTCTTTTTTTCGTAAGAGCGTAGCTGACAGGACCTTTATACTGCTTCGGAGGCATGCCATATTTTTCGTGCAAACGTTGCAGGTCCTCCCGTGCCTCAGGTGTATCTTTTGTCTTCCCATACACGCCCAAGAAGCCTAGCAGGTTCACGCAAAGGTTCTTCGTCACGTGCATCACGTCGATTGAGGAGCGGACCTCTAGGTCTTTCCAGTAGGGTAGGTCCCAAAACATAGATTTCTTTTTCCACATGGGTGCGTGTCCCTCAGCGTCATTCAGAACAGCTAGTCCACCGGGACCCTTTCCAAAGATTACGTAGTGTAAATCATTGACCATAGCAAGCACGTGATCATCGGTGCGCATGGCGGGCTTCTTCCGGTGATCTGCCTCGCCTTTGAAATGCTTGCCTTCTTTCGACATTGATGGTTGGTCGGAAGAAATCGACGATGGCCCAGGTACACATTCTTCCTGCATTTGTCCAGGTATATACTTTCAGTGTCATCTAAACAGTGCGTGCATGCGTGGTATCCTTTGTTTGTCTGTCCTGAAAGGTTACTGAGAGCGGGCCAATCATTGATGGTCACGAACAGCAACGCCTTAAGGTTAAATTCCTCCTGTCTGTGCTCATCCCACGTACGTACACCGTTTTCATTGCACAGCTGTAAAAGTTCTTCAACTAATGGCCTTAGGTACACATCAATTTCGTTGTCGGGTTGCTTAGGGCCTTGGATGAGAACTGGCATCATAATGAACTTCCGCTTCATGCACATCCAAGGAGGAAGGTTATACATACATAGAGTCACGGGCCAGGTGCTGTGATTGCTGCTCTGCTCCCCGAAAGGATTAATGCCATCCGCGCTTAAAGCAAACCATACATTCCTTGGGTCCTTTGCAAACTCATCCCAGTACTTTCTCTCGATTTTTCTCCACTGTGACCCGTTAGCGGGTGCTCTCAACTTCCCATCTTTCTTTCGGTTCTCACTGTGCCATCGCATCAACTTGGCATGCTCTTCGTTTTTGAACAGACGTTTCAACCATGGTATTATAGGAGCATACCACATCACCTTCGCAGGAACCCTCTTCCTGGGGGGCTCGCCGTCAACATCACCAGGGTCATCTTGTCTGATCTTATACCGCAATGCACCGCATACCGGGCATGCGTTCAGATCCTTGTATGCACCGCGGTAGAGGATGCAGTCATTAGGGCATGCATGTATCTTCTCCACCTCCAATCCTAGAGGGCATACGACCTTCTTTGTTGCGTATGTACTGTCGGGCAATTCGTTATCCTTTGGAAGCTTCTTCTTCAATATTTTTAGTAGTTTCTTAAATCCTTTGTCAGCCACAACATTCTCTGCCTTCCACTGTAGCAATTCCAGTAGCGTACCGAGCTTTGTGTTGCCATCTTCGCAATTGGGGTATAACCCTTTTTTGTGATCCTCTAACATGCGATCGAACTTCAGCTTCTCCTTTTAACTAATGCATTGCGTCCTTGCATCGACAATGACCCGGCGGAGATCATCATCATCGGGCACATCGTCTGGTTCCTCTTGATCTTCAGCAGCTTCACCCGTTGCAGCATCATTGGGCACATCGTCTGGTTCCTCTTGATCTTCACCAGCTCCCCCCGTTGCAGCATCACCGTATTCAGGGGGCACATAGTTGTCATCGTAGTCTTCTTCTTCACCGTCTTCCATCATAACCCCTATTTCTCCGTGCCTCGTCCAAACATTATAGTGTGGCATGAAACCCTTGTAAAGCACGTGGGAGTGAAGGATTTTCCGGTTAGAGTAAGACCTCGTATTCCCACATTCAGTGCATGGACAACACATAAAACCATTCTGCTTGTTTGCCTCAGCCGCATCGAGAAACTCATGCACGCCCTTAATGTACCCGCGGGTGTGTCTGTCACCGTACATCCATTGCCGGTTCATCTGCGTGCATTATATATAATTAAGTGTCCAAATTAATAGAAGTTCATCATCACATTAAAACCAAAGTGCATACATAGTTCTCATCTAACAACATATAGCTCTCCAGAGCATCTAATTAATTAAACCATACATTGAAACTATGTAAAACATTTCAATGCGAAAACAAATGCGATCATAATCGCAACCAAGGTAACAATTGATCCAACGGCATAATGATACCGAGCCTCGGTATGAATGGCATATTTTCTAATCTTTCTAATCTTCAAGCGCATTGCATCCATCTTGATCTTGTGATCATCGACGACATCCGCAACATGCAACTCCAATATCATCTTCTCCTCCTCAATTTTTTTTATTTTTTCCTTCAACAAATTGTTTTCTTCTTCAACTAAATTTAACCTCTCGATAATAGGGTCGGTTGGCATTTCCGATTCACATATATCCTAGATAAATAAAATCTATGTCACGTTGGTCGGCATAATTTTCATAAACAATAAATGAACCAATAGTTATAAAGATAATATGCATACCACATCCGAATCATAGACAGGACGAGGGCCGACGGGGGCGGATACCAAAACCATCGCACTATATAAGATGCAATAATAAATGTAAGAAAATGATACAAGTATCTATCTAAACATACAAGTAAGAATATTTTTCCTTTCAGAAAGAAGATAAGAACAAGAGGCTCACCACGGTGGTGTCGGTGATGAGATCGGCGTGGGTGATCGACGGCGGTGAAGACGGGGACGGGGCATGACGGACCGCTAAATCTAGACAAATCTCGAGGAAAATGGAGCTTGGAGGTCGAGCTTCGAGAGGAGAAAGCTTAAGTAGTGTGGCTCGGGCATTCCATCGAACACCTCATGTGCATAGGAGGTGAGCTAGAGCACCACAAAGCCCTCTCCCCCTCGGCCAGAGAAAAACAGAGCACTGGGGTGCTCTGCTCGCGAGCGAGGGGTATATATAGGCACCTCATTGGTCCCGGTTGGTGACATGAGCCGGGACTAAAGGGGAGCCTTTGGTCCTAGTTCAAGCCACCAACCGGGACCAATGGTGGTGGGCCAGGAGCGAGGCCCATTGGTCCCGGTTCATCCCACCAACCGGGACCAAAAGGTCCAGATGAACCGGGACCAATGGCCCACGTGGCCCGGCCGGCCCCCTGGGCTCACGAACCGGGACCAATGCCCACATTGGTCCCGGTTCTAGACTGAACCGGGACTAATGGGCTGACCCGGCCTGGACCAAAGCCCTATTTTCTACTAGTGATTGAGAGAGAAGAGAGGACGAAAAAAGAAAGAGGAGGAGGAATCAAGAGGGAGGAAATGCGGGATGGTGAGGGATAATTAATCTTAGTGTCAGAAAGGAGATGGCGATAATGATGATAATGAGTTCTACATATACCGACACTAGACGGGTAATAAACACCTTTCGAGGCTTAGAGATCGGATCTATCAGGGTAGCGCCCCGACTTGGTAGCAAAAGTGGTTGATGATGCAGTGGTTCTTAGTAGTGGTGATAGGCGCCAATGCAGCGATGGACATCATTGATGGAGGAAGGAGGAAGGAGGAGAAGAGTGTGGAGGGTTAAAAAGAAAATAAAAGAAAGAGTAGGGATAGTCTCGAGGCCGAAAAGGCAATGGCGGTAATGACATCAACTAGGTCTACGTGTATTGGCACTAAACGGACAATAAACACCTTTCCAGGCTTAGAGATCAGATCTATCGGGGTACATCGCTGGCCCGACTTGGTATCAAAAGTAGGTAGATGATGCAGTGTGTCTTGGTAGTGGTGACGGGTGACAATGCGACGATGGATGACATTGGCGGAGAAAGGAGGAGAAGAGGGATGAGAGTTACAAAATAAAAGGAAGGGTTGATCTCGAGGCCAACGGCGATGGAGACAATGGGCGAGGTCTACGTGTACCAACGCGGGTGATAAGCATATTTCTATGCTTAGGCTCTATCGTGGTCGTTGATGCCCTGACTTGGTACAGGAAAGTGGGCGAAGATCTGGTGGTTTTTGGTAGTGGTTACGGGGTGGATTTGCGGTGATCAAATAGGAGGAGGAGAAACGAGTAGGGCGATGCATGACATTGAGAGAGGAAGAAGGAGAGGAGGAACGAGGAAAAAGGAAGGGGCGGCCTAAAAGGGGAAGGGAGAAGAAAACCAAGGCATGCCGACAGGGTTGTGGCATTTAAAAGCAAGCGACCAAATGGTTGCATCCAGATAGATCTACTTCTCCGACAAAAATATTTGTCAAAGAAATGGTTACATTCTTCTTTGACAAATATTTTCTGATGGAGGGAGTACTCCACAAGTCAAGCTGACCGTTTCTTGGATCATGGTGTCAAATATGTCCCTGTTAACGTTACTTTCCGACTTAAATACTAGTCCATATCTACTACATTTCTCACTTCATCAGCTTGCTCCTAGCAGTACTACTTGTCTTCTTCACCTGTTGTTTGTCTGTGCTTACCTTCTCCACCTTACAGGTTCCTCGTTCAGCTCTTTTGTGCGTGCCATACTGCGTCCCCCACAATAGCTGCCGACGACCTAACCTGCCTGCCTACCACCACGCGTGCGCGCGCGCAAGCACAAACCCTACAGCTCAAAGCCATGGACGCGCCGCGGCCACGGTCGCCTCCTCCTCTGTTCATGCCAATCACGCCTTCCCCACCGCCACCGCCACAGCTATCCTCCTCGCCCTCCCCCGACTTCTCCTTCTCCTTCTCCCCTTTCCCTCCATCGCCTCCACCTTCTCACGTCCCCCTCCGAGTCCTTCCGCTTCCGGCCGCCGCCGACATGTCCCGGACACCCCTCGGCCGCGTCGGCAGCGACATCAGCCACAACAACTACGCCAAAGCCAGCCACCGTCAAGCCACGAGCCACAGCAGCTGCAGCAGCGATGACAGGGACAGGGCCAAGGCCAGGGCGTCGCCTTTCTTCCCCGGCCCCGGCGGCGCGTGGAGGGCAGGCGAGGGCAGAGACGACACGGCCGGCAAGGCCGAGGAGGACAGGAAGAAGGTGAAGGGGAAGAGAGGGCCGCTGGAGGTGGGCCAGCGGGTGAAGAAGTACATGGCGTCCCTGGTGGAGCAGCTGCTCGCAACCTTCTCCCGGCACGGCGAGCGGGACCGGCGGGGCCAGCGGCGGAGGCCGCACACGTTCTCGGTGAGCGGGCCGGGCGCCGCCGCGACGATGGAGCGGGAGCGGTGGAGGCAGCGGCGCGGGCATCTGTCGTCGGCGCCGGCGTCGCTGCGCGCGTCTCCGGTGAACAGCGGCCACCTGTCGGTGGGCGGGTCGCTGGTGAAGGTGTCGACGTCGTCGGAGGAGAGCACGATGGAGGAGCTGCAGAGCGCCATCCAGGCCGCCATCGCGCACTGCAAGAACTCCATCGCCGTGGCCAAGCAGTAGTACTAGTACGTAGACTAGACTGCCGGGGCCGGCCGGGGCACAGGCAGGCTAGTGTAAATGGTAGGGTAGCGGCATGGTGTGCGTCGTTGCACTCTCCCGGCGATCGCCATGCGTGCGTACTGCTTCCGATCGAATCAGAAGTTCTCGGTGGACACAGGTCGCGAATGTGAACTTCACTCTGTTCCATATAGTACTTCCATCTCAGATTTTCTTGCTTGCGACTGCAAAGATGTAAACAATATTACTATGGAAAATAGCCAAAATAGGTAGTGAGCATTTTTTTGCGAGTAAAATAGATACTGATCATGTACTACTGTGTCCTTGCAAGATTTTTCTCACTAATACTCCCGTGGAAGCTTATTGCTCCTACTTGTGTATGTGATATAATTGACCGAAACAAATAAATCTTCTTGTCATTTGGAGATTGGAGTGGCCGGTAAATCAACACCGGCTGAGGTTATCTTTCCGTCGGTTTTCATTGACCGGTTGAATATTTGATGATGCTGACCGTTTCTAGATCCTGATAGCCTGGTAGTAACTCAATTCATAATATATATTTTTTCCTTTTGGGGGGTAAAATAACTCACATCTTAAACTTTACCCGCAACTCATTCGATCTAACCATGCCACCACCGGCAGCCACATACACATCACCAGCCACGATACAAAGTCAGTACAAACTGTCTACATGAGAATGCAAGTGCACGAGTGGAGACAAGCTCACTAGTGGGTGTACCACGTACCGTCGTACGCCCATCCAGCTTTCGTTGGTACTCTGTCCTTTCCTTTTAAGCCGATCCGATGTCTTTCTCTGGGCACGACCGCAAGGGCAGGAGTGGCCTTGTGCGTTCCATTAACTTAGATTTAACTAGATGATACGTATCGCGTTGCTGCGGAAACTGTTGACAAATAATTTGGTGTTTAATATCATGAGAAAGTTATGAAACATAGTATAAGTATAAGTTGATGATAAAGAATTTTGTTTGAAAGAGGTATTGTTTAGAGCATTTCCAGCCGCGTCCCCAACAAGGCCTCCTAGGTGACATTTCGGTCGTCGGCGTCAAAAAATCGGCCCAGTCGCGCCTCCAAGGGCTCAATTTTCGCCGGCTCGGGCCGAAATTGGCGTCGGCGGACCCAACCCGAACTCGGTGTGCTGGGGGCGCTCGGGGGCGCCGGGCGAATCGTTTTTGGCGCGAAAGAGCCGCGGGCCCTCCTTACCAGCGACTCGTCTCGCTTCTCGCCGCTTCGTCGTCCTCATCGCCTTGTTTCCCGCCGCGAATCAATGCCAAAGCTGCCGCGCGCTGCCGCGCCGATCAGCCTCCGCCATTGATGCCTCACGGGCGGCGCAGTGAACACGAGAGACGCGCGTCCCCTCGCATGCCACACGTAATGCGCCGGCCACGTGTACGCGCGACGCCTCCGCCTATATAAAGCCGACCCCAGCGCACCGGTGGCACGCACAGAGTCTCCATCGCCGACGAGCCCTTTCTCCCCCATTCCTCCCTCTCCTCTCGCCGTCTCTAGTTCAAAGAATGGTCGAACGCTTCCCAGGCGACGGCGCGGCGGCGAACGGCTTCGGCCGCCGCCACCTTCACGAGCACGAAGCTCGGCTCCTCTTCGAGGCCGAGTACCCGGTCCCGCCGGACATGCGGGTGCCCGGGGCCTGGAGAATCAGCGCCGGCGGGGTCCCGGTGCCACCACCGCCCACCGGGGCGGCGCAGCGTGCGGAGATCACGCGTATCCGCGCCTCCCTGCCGCGGGCGCCGAGGGAGGGGCCACGCTCCGTCCTCGACAGCCCGATCTGGGAGCCATACTTCCGGCAGCGCCACGCCGAGCAGCTCGAGGCCACCAACGGCGTCGTACCCTCCGGCAGGCTCAACTCCGCGGGGCGCCGCCGATGGTGGGGCGTGCCCGGACGCACGCTGGAGGCCGTTCTTGAGTACATCGAGGGCGGCAACACGCCGAGGCTGGAGTACCCCGACCCCCCGTCCTTCTCTCGCCGCCGTGGGAGCTCGTGGACGTCGAGGCGCATGGACCCCGGGCCATCCTCCTCCTCGTCCGGTCGGTCGACCGGCTCCCCCTGCCTCCGCCCCGTCAAGCCGGAGCCCCAGGACACGCCTGTCAGCCGGCGCACCCGCAGCTCCGGCGTCCGCATCGGCGACTCCACCCCCGCCTCTGGCCGCCTCGTCCTCGTCGCGCCCAAGCCGGAGCCCGGTCTACCCCCGGAGTACGAGGAGATAGCCCGGCGCGGTCTCTCCGACGACGATGCCTGATACGTCTCCAACGTATCTATAATTTTTTTATTGTTCCATGCTATTATATTATATGTTTTCGATGTTTATGGGCTTTATTATACACTTTTATATTATTTTTGGGATTAACCTATTAACTCAGAGCACAGTGCAGTTTCTGTTTTTTTCCTTGTTTTAGAGTATCGTAGAAAAGGAAAATCAAACGGAGTCCAATTGACCTGAAACTTTGATAACCCACAAGTACAGGGGATCGCAACAGTTTTCGATAAGTAAGAGTGTCGAACACAAAGAGGAGCTAAAGGTAGAACAAATATTCCCTCAAGTTCTATCGACCACCGATACAACTCTACGCTTGACGTTCGCTTTACCTAGAACAAGTATGAAACTAGAAGTACTTTGTAGGTGTTGTTGGATAGGTTTGCAAGATAATAAAAAGTACGTAAATAAAAAGTAGGGGTTGTTTAGATAAAGAAACAATAAAGTAAATATAGCGAGTGTGGAAAAGTGGTGGTAGGAGTTGCGAAATTGCCCCTAAGCAATTGACTACTTTACTAGACCGATAGCAAGTATTATGTGGGAGAGACCACTGCTAGCATGTCATCCCTGACTTGGAATTCTATGCACTTATGATTGGAACTATTAGCAAGCATCCGCAACTAGTAATGTTCATTAAGGTAAAATCCAACCATAGCATTAAGATATATTGGTCCCCCTTCAATCCCGTATGCATCAATTTCTATGATAGGTTGAAGCTTCTATCACTCTTGCCCTCCAATACATAGTCCTATCAACATACAACTAACCCTATGGTGTGATCCACGCGCGCAATCATATGATGGGCACCAAAGGACAGCAACATAATCACAAGCAAATTAAATCAATCATAGAAATTCATCAACCACCGATAGGACAACAAAAATCTACTCAGACATCATAGGATGGCAACACATCATTGGATAATAATATGAAGCATAAATCACCATGTTCAAGTAGAGGGTACAACGGGTTACGGGAGAGTGGACCGCTGTAGATAGAGGGGGGAAGGTGATGGAGATGTTGGTGAAGATGGTGGAGGTGCTGGTGTAGATCGCGGTGATGATGATGATCGCGAGGGGGAGAGAGCCCCCCTCCTTCTTCTTCTTCCTTGACCTCCTCCCTAGATGGGAGAATGGTTTCCCCTCTGGTCGATGGCCTCCATGGCACGGGAGGGGCGAGAGCCCCTCCGAGATTGGATCTGTCTCTCTGTCTCTCTCTGTTTCTGCGTTCTCAGATTCTTCTCTTTCACCGTTTTTTATATTTTCGGAGATCCGTAACTCCGATTGGGCTGAAATTTTGACATGATCTCTATCCGGAAATTAGTTTTCTTGTGGCAAAAGAAGGGCATCAACTGCCTTACGGGGTGGCCACGAGGGTCAGGGGCGTGCATGCCGCCCCAGGGCGCGCCCCCCTACCTCGTGGGCCCCTCGAGCATCGTCTCGCGTGGATTCTTCTTCCCAAAAATCATATATATTCCAAAAAAATCTCCGTCAGTTTTTATTCCGTTTGGACTCCGTTTGATATGGATATTCTGCGAAACAAAAAACATGCAACAAACAGGAACTGGCACTGGGCACTGGATCAATATGTTAGTCCCAAAAATAGTATAAAAAGTTGCCAAAAGTATATGAAAGTTGAATAATATTGGCATGGAACAATAAAAAATTATAGATACGACAGAGACGTATCAGCATCCCCAAGCTTAGTTCCTGCTCGTCCTCGAGTAGGTAAATGATAAAAAAGATAATTTTTGATGTGGAATGCTACCTAGCATAATCTTGATCACATATCTAATCATGGCATGAATATTAAGACACGAGTGATTCAAAGCAATAGTCTATCATTTGACAAAAAAACAATAATACTTCAAGCCTACTAATAAAGCAATCATGTCTTTTCAAAATAACAAGGCCAAAGAAAGTTATCCCTACAAAATCATATAGTCTGGCTATGCTCCATCTTCACCACACAAAATATTCACATCATGCACAACCCCGATGACAAGCCAAGCAATTGTTTCATACTTTTTATGTTCTCAAACCTTTTCAACTTTCACGCAATACATGAGCATGAGCCATGGACATAGCACTATAGGTGGAATAGAATATGATGATGGGGAAGACAAAAAGGAGAAGATAGTCTCACATCAACTAGGCGTATCAACGGGCTATGGAGATGCCCATCAATAGATATCAATGTGAGTGAGTATGGATTGTCATGCAATGGATGCACTAGAGCTATAAGTGTATGAAAGCTCTAACTGAAACTAAGTGGGTGTGCATCCAACTTGCTTGCTCATGAAAACCTCGGGCATTTGAGGAAGCCCATCATCGAAATATACAAGCCAAGTTCTATAATGAAAATTCCCACTAGTATATGAAAGTGATAACTCAAGAGACTCTCTATATGAAGAACATGGTGCTACTTTGAAGCACAAGTGTGGTAAAAGGATAGTAACATTGCCCCTTCTCTCTTTTTCTCTCATTTTTTTTTCTTTTTTTCTTTTTTTTTCTTTTTTGTAGGCTTCTTTGGCCTCTCTCTTTTTTGTGGGGCTTCTTTGGCCACTTTTATTTTGATAACCTCACATGGGACAATGTTCTAATAATGATGATCATCACACTTTTATTTACTTACAACTCAATATTACAACTGGATATCTAGAACAAGGATATGACTCTATATGAATGACTCCGGCGGTGTACCAGGATGTGC